GTGTTCTAATGTTAGCTCATTTAATCCTAATAAAAACTCTAAGAAAATAGGCAATACAATTCCTGCTTTATAGATGAGGAGATAGGAGATCAAAGTTCAGCCACTATCCAAAGTCAGTAAGTAGTGGATTTTAAACTGGTCAAATCTGAGTGCAGAACTTTCTCTCCTGGAAATGAGGAATTAGAGGATATTACAAATATTAGGAATTAGAGGCTAGAAAATGAGAAGATACTTAGATTCTCTGAGGATGCTAGAGTTACAAAGATGAAAAAGGTTTATAACTTACCTCATTTCCCAAAAGATTGAAGATAGTATCTTGGCTGCTCCTCTAGCTAATGTATAAGGAGGTATGCCATTTTCAGAAATACAAGTTTATAAATGATAATGTAGGTTGTAAGAAAGTCCCTCTGAAGTAAGCTAGTTCTTGCTGAGTTCAGTTAGCCTGGTACAGTACCCCTTTCCACATGAGAGTTCCTCAGCTCTACTTACCCAGGTAGCTACCTTTCTGTCCAAAGAGAAAGTCCTTTGCGGTATCTTTCCCAGATGTCAGTGCTTTTTATGGTCACCTAGAAGCATACCTTTATTAAGTAAATTAGGAAACATCCACACCATGGAACCCTGTGCATCTGCAGAAACTAATGAGGAAACTTGCTGTACTGTTATGGGAGGGTCTACAAGACCGTAGAATATTGTTAAATTAAAAAGGTGCAGAACACTGCATATAGTATGATCCTCTGTTAAAAAAAAAAAAAAAAGTTTATGCATTTATTCATTACTAGAGGTCCAGTGCATGAAATTCTTGCACTCAGGGCGGGGGTCCCTCAGCCCAGCCTGCACCCTCTTGCAGTCTGGGAGCCCTCAGGGGGATGTCCAACTGATGGCTTAGGCTCACTCTCTGTGGGGAGCGGGCCTAAGCTGGCAATCGAACATCCTTAGCACTGCCACAGTGGCAGGAGAGGCTCCCGCCACCGCCGCTGCACTCGCCAGCCGTGAGCCCAGCTCAGGGCTTCTGGCTGAGCGGCACTCCCCCTATGGGAGCGCACTGGCCACCAGGAGGCAGCTCCTGTGTTGAGCATCTGCCCTCTGATGGTCAGTGCGCATCATAGCGACTGGTCATTCCACCGTTCGGTCGATTTGCATATTAGCCTTTTATTATATAGGATATGTATACAGAGTATCTCAGGATACACAATAAGTTGGTAATATGGTTTGCTTCCTGGAAAGAGAACTGGGTGCCTGGGGTCTAGGAATGGGAGGGAGACCTAGGCTTTTCATTGTATGCCTCAGATATTTTGCATTTAGTACCACGTATATATGATCTAGTTCATTTAAACTGGGGGAGGAAGACCTCTTTTGCATACAAGGAGACAATAGATATAAGCGTATATAATTTTATTAACCAATGTCACCCCAATAAGTTTAATAAAAATAAAAATTTAACCACAAGTCTGATGGAATCTTATAAGTTCCCATTTTACTGTCTTTCTGCATAGCATATAGCATTATTGTTTACTCCCCTCTTGAAATTCTCCTG